CTAACAGAGACTGTATACAGCAGACACTGGAACAGTGAATGTTCTAAGGAGAAGGTGTGTGAATATTGAATGAATGATTATTGCTAGAACAAACAGTTCTGATAGTGAGTCATCAGCTGGAAAGCATTTATTCCAAGCGGCCTGACAAGCAGCTCAGAGTGAGGGCCCGCACCATGCTGGGAGTTCCTTTCAAGGATACTCAAGCGGCTGCTCCCAGGGATGGGCTTAAAATATATAAATCACTAGTCACCCAATAACTGGGAAAACTGATCCTAATCAACTTTTTCTACCAAAAAAATTTTTTTCCTCAGAATCTCCACATTTACTATCTGAGAATTTACTTTTTTAATATATTTGACATTTGGAAAGATTTATTTTGCTATTTTTCTGATTTTTGTAGCCACATAAGAAAAATAGGTGATATTTGGGCATTTTTTTCTATTAAGTCAATCAATGCAGAGCTTGTAAAGTCTGTAAATTAGTTCTGTACCCTTGAAGGCAGCATTATGCAACATGAGAGAAAAAACAGGAATTAGAAAATCTTCATACTATTAACCATTCTGCATCTAACCAGCTGTGGGACCCTGAATGAGTAAGAAACTCTCTGAGCTATGGTATACTCTTGTATAAAATAATAACCTCTTTTTTTTTTCCTTTTTTTTTTTTTTTTTGTGAGGAAGATTAGCCCTGAGCTAATATCTGTTGCCAATCCTCCTCTTTTTGCTGAGGAAGATGGGCCCTGGGCCAACATCCGTGCCCATCTTCCTCTACTTGGTATGTGGGACGCCTGCCATAGCATGGCTTGATGAGCACTGTGTAGGTCCACACCTGGGATCCGAACCCGAGAACCCCAGGCTGCCGAAGGGGAGTACACGAACTCAACCACTACACCACCAGGCTGCCCCAAATAATGACCTCTAAGATGCCTTCTAGTTCTAACATCTGATGAGAGCAATTTAACATTTTTAAAAGATATAAATTCTTCTAATGAATATCACAAATTTGTGCAAACACAAAACATTTGAAACAAAATTAGCTTTTTAAAAAAATTAATTTTAAGTAGTCATAAATTGGGAAGTAATTGAGTTTTTAAAATAAAATTATACTGTTTGATCAACCTAAAGAAGAAACTTAAAATGGTGGGTTATATGACAAATCAATCTTTTGCCTTTTCTCCTTATTTAAGTCTGAGAACCATAGTTATGGTTTACTGATTTTTCAATACCCAAAGTGTTTCTCAATGTAAAAAAAAATTTTTTGAAAGAAATAAAGCATTTTTTCTACATCTGAAGTAGTTCTAGCTCTTAAAATAAGATTTTTTTTTCAGTAGTTCACTCTTAAAAGTCTATCAGAAAACCATTTTTAATTATTCACCCCTGTCCTAAAATATATTACAACTAGTGCTATGAAGGGAAGATAACTGCACACAGCAATGCTCCTTCTACAGCTAAAGCTTGACTGTGATTCTTACCACTGAAAAATTCAGCAGGAAAATGAACTGAAAAGACAGGTCCCAGAAGGCCAAGCCCTGCCCATAACACTTTCCTTAAAAGGTGATGAACAGGAAAAGATGACTCTAAACACTTGTAACTTGAAGATTTAATCATCTTCCTAGAGTGGAAGGTGAATACTAAAGTCTTTTCCTATAAAACTATGTTTCAACCAGAAATGACAAAAGCTAACACATCATTACAATGAGACAGTTCCTGCCCTACCTAAGTAACATGCATACTCATTTAATCCACATAAATCTTCTCTGAAGTATATGCTATTTTATCACCTCCATTTTAAAGATGGACTAACAGGCTTTTATATAAGTGATTAGCTCAAAATTACACAGCTGATAAGTGGCAGACCCAGGCTCAAGATGGATCTAGCTGACTCTTCAGCCTCTGCTCTTAACTACTGTCTTCAGTTAAAATTTAAACTCCCCTTTCTAAATGATGTCACTATTTCCTCCCCATACTATTTTTTAATTTTTTTATTTATTTTTTTTCCCCCAAAGCCCCATACAACATAGATAGTTGTATGTCATAGCTGCACATCCTTCTAGTTGCTGTACGTGGGACGTGGCCTCAGCATGGCCGGAGAAGCGGCGCGTCGATGCGCACCCAGGATCTGAACCCAGGCCGCCAGTATCGGAGTGCGCGCACTTAACCACTAAGCCAGGGGGCTGACCCTCCCCATACTGGTTTTATCCATCTAGAAAAGAAGCCTTGAAATGAATAAAGGTCTAATTTAAATAGCACTCCAGCATCTAAGTACAGCAGAAAATCCCAAAACCTTCACTCTAACCTCCAAGACAAACTCTCCTGAAATGCCAACCCAATCATAAATTTTAAGATGCCAATCTCTTGGGCCATGTTTCATCCTTTTCTTTCCTAAGCTCCATTGGAAACACATGGTTGGGCAGGAAGCGGTTCATTCCCAAAGCTTAAATTCCACGTTTCTTAGTTTGGCAATAATACTGTGCTTTGGGACTTTAAAATTATAAGCACGGTTCCCAGAGGAAAACATTTCCTTTATTAGCAACTGGCTTTGAAAATTCCATTCTAGGATGCTAAATATAACAAAATACCTTCTGACCTTCATAACAAACACATTCTCCAGATTATTTTGAAACTAATGATTATCTGCTTATTTACAAGACAATTTTGCAACAGCAGTTAAGCAACTGTAACATTTTAAAGAATCTTTCAAATTTGTTCCAGTTCTTTTAATGAATTGAGCTGATATTGTTTTCTCAATTCTTCTACTATGAAATAAGTTCTCATTTCACAATTCATTTCCCTAATAAGATATGTTTTATTATTTCTAATTTTCTTAAGTTCTAACACAAGAATATCCGCAAAGTCAGAATCATGGAAGGAGGTTTTTTCAAACTACGAAATAGAATAAATCAAGATTTTAAAAAGCTGTACTATATACATTCATCAAAGGCAAATAAAGCATTTCACAGTTCTTAAAATGTATCTTTATTATTAAAAATCCCATACATGATAACTCAGAAATACTGAGTGATGGGGTGACGGGCTGATTGCCTTGTTCTGCGCTAATGGACTAGATCAGGCTTTTAGCAGAATGCAGTAGCTACTATGTTTTAGGGAGCAACACGCACTTAGAGGACTTCGCAACCCCAGACAGTCTGTCACTGTATAAGCAGTTTAAGTGTAGTTGTAAAAAATTAAGGCACCTTTAGCTGGACAGCTCCTCATGCCCTCCCTATCTAAAACATGGGATGAGAAAGGATTGAAGAATCAACTAGCACTTTTTCTCTGGGAGATGGATGCAATGAGTTGGGTAGGAAGAGTAGAAATTTTCTGTTTCATCTATAATCCCATGGGGTTTGTGTGGTTTTATTTTGACCAGTATGTCTACTTATTACTAATAGTTAGCTCTTCAAAAATATAGCCCACTAGTTATCATGCCTTCTTTTTTCTCCCTCTTCTAACACCTTCTAGGCCCACAAAGTCCCATTAACATCAAGTCTAATCTGTCACCCTTAAACGGAGCTCCACAGCCTCCAAACACCTGAATACTCACCAACTACTGTATGTAGGGTGGAGACAGAGTTCTTGCAGGCCCCACCAGGATCTTTAACGGGAAGACTAGAGATTTCAAAGTACCTTAGCTCTGCAAGCAACTTCTAAACTTGCACCAAAGCCCTAAATTTTCTCCAAAATATATTCTAAAACTCAATATGGAGAGTTCTTGGATGATCCTACTGCCAATAGCAACAACAAAAAGGTTGTTTAAAACCCCATTATCTTCCACCCAAAACATTCCTCCTAGTATAACTGCTCTGTTAACACTCTGTCACCAAATCTTGTGCTTTCTTCCTTCCTGGTGTCTCCCCTAATGTCCCTTTCCTTCAGTTATCAAAACCTGCAAGCTACATAAGTGGGTGCTGTGGGCCTGGTGTACTGCAACAGAGATTGGTGGGAACAGCTATTCCTCAGCTCCAGCCAAATGTTATCAGGTGGGAATATGATGGCAGATCTTCCAATTATCCAAGATAGGTAAGAAATTGAGACTGTTAGGAGAAATCTTCTGGTTTTTAAAGCAACATGAGGACCAAAGAAAACATCTGCAGATCAGCCTTTGGTAATCCCCGAGTTAACCAGTCTCATTTTGGTCCAGGCTCCCTCAGTCCATTCTACACACACTGCCAGATCAATTTACCAAATAGACTGCTCCTGATCACTGCTAACTCGAGGCTCAAAATACTACCACGAAGTCCCAACCCTACAGCCACTCTCCACCTTCCTCAACTCCCCCACACAAACCTCTCACGTCAAGGAAAGGAATCTACTCTCCTCATCCCTCACCCCGCAACAAGCTGCATCCCCGCCAAGATGGCCTCTTTTTTATCCTCCTCCTCTACCCCATCAATGCCCACACTTGAAGCAGGAAACAAGCCCATCTATTGGGAGTATCCTTCCAATACCTGCTGACTGTGTGACTTAAACTACTCTGCTTAAAGCGAACAGATCTAACTTTCACGAAGGGATTTAAATCGCCTAAGAGGCAAATCCAATGGCCTTGTCTCCCATGGCCCCCACCAAAAAAATAACATTTTAGAGGTGAGCGGAGACCCTAAGTTGGGCTCAAAGGAGTCGCCTGCCAGAGAAGGCTTTACGGGGTCTCGACGTCCTCACACCGAAGAAAGCCTCAGGGAGGTGGGGGACTGGAAGGGGACCCCCAACCAGCACTGCGAGGCAGGCGGCCGTGAGCAACCCCCCGCGCCCTCCTTCCTACGCCCCAGAGATACCAACCCCAACTGGACCCAGAGCCGTGTCCCCGGGACCCCTACCTGCTGACCCCTGACGCGCGCTTCCCGGGGGCCCCGCACCCGAGGACCCTCCGCGCTGCCCAGCCCGGGTGCCACTGTCGGCCGAGACAAAGGGTCAGAAGGCGAGACGACCCCTCTGCGCGCGCCCCCCGCGCATCTCCGGGAGCCGCCGCCGCCCCGGCCGCGCCCACCCCGACGCCGCCGCTACCTTGTCCTCGGGCGGACCGTCCGGCTCGCGGACGGCCCTCTGCCTCAGCTCCGTCATGCTGGAGACACTGGCGCGACGTCGCCGCGGGGGAGCAGCGCAGCCGTCGGAGCGGGCAGCTCAGCGGGGACGCGCGCGGACTCCGCTCGGCCGGCCCCGCCACGCCTGAGCGGCTCGCAGGCCCCACCGCAGCCCCGCTGCCAGCCCTGGAGCTCGGCCCCGCCCAGCGCCGCCACCGCCCTTTCACTCTGGCGGGGCGCAGTCAGTCTGGCCCGTCCCGGGCCCGCTGGCTGCTTCTCTCCGGAGGAGGGCCCCGGAGCGAGCGCGCACGCGCACCGCCGCCATCACGGCCCCGGAGATGCACCAATGGCGCGAATCTGCCAGGGAGGCGGGCAGTGAGGGCGGGGCGGAGCGAAGCGGAGAGGCGTGCATTGGACAGCAGCGTGACGGGGCGGGGAAAGGCGCGCGTTTCCGAGGGAGACTAGCCAATGGGAGCTCGCGCCTTCCCGAGGATGACAGGCGCTGGTTCTTGGGCTGCCGGGAGCCAGACGCGGTAACCCCGAGTCTCTGGCTCGCCTGCTGTTTGCTGCTCTCGGCTTCGCGTCCACCGTAGCCAGGGCTCTTCCCTCACACATATAAGTAGACGCTTGTTAGGTCCTGAGTGGAAAGGGTTGGGGAGCCCGCCTGTGTAAGAGGAGGGGATCACGTGATAAGGAAGTGCCCACCACCCCCCCCCCCCCCAAACTTAAGTCTGCGTTGCTTTGCCAAGCTGTCTCTAGTACTAGTTGAACGTTATTTATGTGCTAGGCACTGAACTAAGTAATCGCTTTAATTTAGCTCGTTTAATCCGCACAACGTTTGGAAGTGGATATGATTTTAATTTTACAGACAAGATCTTCCGCAGTTTTTCAGATTTCTTTTCTGTCTTCTGGACTGTTGAAAGACCCTTTTCGGACAGGCACGCTGCCTGCTTTGTTCACAGCCGGATCCCCTATGTACTTGACACATCCTAATTATTAAATTGGTTTAAATTTTCTCCTAAAGGAAAATGATTTAGCCAAGATCTCACTGCTAGAAAGTGCCCACTAACAATTAGAACACAAATCAGTTACCAGTTCACACTAACCACTGTACATACTGCCTGCCTTCCTAAATATATTATTAATACCCGTGTGCTCAAGCATTACCTTTAGCGGTTCCTATTCGCTGCCTTGTAAGTGATGTAAAACAAGTATAAAACGAGGTCCCGTCCCTTAAACATATTGTAATTTAACAAGGAGAGAAACTTGCACACATAGGACTTGCAGTTTCCTATTAGCAATTTTGACCTGAGCTGTGGGTTTCTGGGAAAGTAGTGAGAATTCTGAGAAGAACATTATATTTTCTTGATTTCTGTATGTCCTATATTCCCAAGTTCCTGTAACAGTGCTTCAAAGTGACAGTAAAAAAAGATGTGGAGGAACACTGAACTCAGGGAATGCTATGTTTCCTATTACCAACATTGCACAAATACTTGCGGGGTTTTTTTGTAGATACCACTCCCTTCAGACCATAATTTATTTAGAGAAAGCTTTGTTTTTGTTTTTTATTTTATCTTTTAATGCTATTTATAAAAGTAAATAACATGCTGATGTTAACTTTAAAAATCTTTTAATCTGTCAAGGACTGTGTGACCACCATTTTGACTAATCTCAGTGGTCACCTCTTGATCTAAAGACCAAACACCTCTTGGGTAAATTAAGCAAGCTCTATTATCTAAAGGACACAGAAGGACATCAACACAGAGGGAGCCACAAGGTCATCCTCTGAGACAGGTGGAGGTGTTAGTATCCAGATCCTCACCTTTAGGGAACATAATTGTGAATGGTCACATCTGAGTAAGCATCGCATCAGTCCTTCCAGAAGCTCAGATGTTCCCTTTCAAACCCAGCCTACTATAAAGGAGGCTGGAGAAGCAGTGTACCTAGATCAGAGTTTCAGAATGTACAGCATTATTTCTAGAGTAGATAACCCCCTCCAATTTGGCCTGAACAAACTTCTTACCCATCACACTCAGCCCTCCCAGGCTAACTGAGCTCAGACCGAGTCCATTCCTGAAGTCAGTGCTATGGAGAATAGAAATCAGGTACTCAGACCTCTGGAAGTCATGCTAACAGGACTTTAGGTCAGCTTTAGAGTGCCTCCCTCAATTGTAGAAAGAAATTAAAAGTAAAAATCTCCCCCCACCTCCAGCCCAAAGAAGAATTTTGTTCCTTTACATCACCTCACACCTCCTCCTCTATCCCTGATTTTTCTCTTCTATTCCTCGTATTAGCTCTTTCCTCTAGGTTCATTTCTTCCAGGCTTGTGGCATGTCTTTCGTATAGTGATTTCTTTTCATTGGTCAGTTCCATTGTTTTCAGATGTTATTTGGTTAGTAGAAGTAACTAGCATGAGATTGTTAGTTCCTCAGAATGTGCAGGCTGACTGTGAGCTCAGTATAAGTGGGCAGCTGTTGCTATAATTATTATCATTCTATAATAAAAACACCTCCCCAGGGGCTGGCCCCATGGCCTAGTGGTTACGTTTGGCACACTCCGCTTCAGTGGCCAGGGTTCGGTTCCCGGGCATGGACCTGTGCCACTCCTCGGCAGCCATGCTGTGGCAGCGATCCACACACAAAATAGAGGAAGATTGGCACAGATGTTAGCTTAGGGCAAATCTTCCTTAAGCAAAAAGAGGAAGATTGGCAACAGATGTTAGCTCAGGGCGAATCTTCCTCAGCACACAAAAAAAAAAATCTCCCCACTTCTTGATATTTGAAAACTGCATTGGTACAAGTGACAATTCTTTAGTTCCCTGAATAGTGTTTTTCCTCTCTTTGAGGGGAAGAGTTGTCAGTAAACAATTCTTTAAACAATAAATTCTTTAAAGAACTCTCAAGGGGCCAGCCTGGTGGCATAGCAGTTAGGTTCGCACGCTCCACTTCGGCGGCAACAGTTTGGATCCTGGGTGCAGACCTATGCACCGCTCATCAAGCCATGCTGAGGCAGCATCCCACATAGAGCAACTAGAAGGATGTACAACTATGACATACAACCATCTACTGGAGCTTTGGGGAGGAAAAAAAAAGGAGGAAGATTGGCAACAGATGTTAGCTCAGGGCCATCTTCCTTAAAAAAAAAAGAATTGTCAATAAACAAAAACAGGCTTTATCTGCTTTTTATCTTGCCCTTCATGTTGCCTTTCTACTTCTTAGTTTGACAAGTGTTCTCAGCTAAAACTTCGTATTCAGTTTTATGAGATGACATGCAAAATGGACTCGAGAATGGGCTAGGCAGAACTGTCAAACTTCTTAAAGCTTCAAAAATACAAAATCTGTACTCTCTCAGACTAATAGACCTATTAGATTATTAGACAGTCCATCTAAACTATAATGTCAGTCACCTCTCTGATAAACTGTAGGTCTTACTTTTTCAAACCAATAGTCTACATGGGGGCGCAGGTGGCTTTAAGCACAAATACGCATCTATTGATCACACGTGCTGAGACAGTCCTACTCAGTCCTGATTATTCACTGGAATTAACTGGGGAGCTTCTAAAACATACTAATGGAGGGCCCACCCTAGACCAACTAAATAAGAATCTCTGGAGATGGAGCCTAGAGGAAATAGGCTTTAGTTGTTGTTGTTAAGCTCCCCAGGTGAGTGTAATGTGCAGCCAGGATTGAGAATCACTCTAATACATGATATCACCTTATAAAGAAATTTGCCAGAAATTGTATAAAATCGTTTACAGCATTTTTCTCTCCCAACCTTCATTAACATTTTCTGATCAATACATGTTTGATGAAGAAAGTGTGGGAAATGCAGAAAAGTACAATGAAAAATATTTAAATGATTTGTGGTATCATCAGCCACAGATAATTACTGTTAATATTTATATTCTTGCCTTTTATTTCTATTTTCTGTGCACTTACACCCAGATATAACAATTTTAGAAAATTGGAATACTATTGTTTATACTGTTTCATAACATGACTTTTCTCTTTATCATTAAGTGCCCTTTGAGAATAGTATTTGAAAGGCTATATAGTATTCCATCTTACAGATTTACCATAATTTACCTTACAAAGACCATATTTTTTAGACCTCAAGGTTATTTCCAATTTCAGGGGAATTGTTAATAATTCTATAAGAAACATTCTTAAACATGCTTCATCTTAGTGAGTATCTCTGGTTACTTCTTTAGAAAAAAAGTCTAGAGATTGAACTTCTGTGTCAAAGAATAAACAAAATTCTAAGGCTTTCCATACACATTTCCAAATTACCACTAGAAAAGTCACACGAATTTGTACTCCCATCTTCAATGCATGAAAGTGCCCACTTCTTTGAATCCTTCCTAATAAATGGGTGTTAACACAATTTTTATTATACAGTATGTTAAAATTCTATCTCCCTTTAATTTATATTTCTTTGCCTATTAATACGGCTAACCAGGGCCAGCCCCGTGGCGTAGCGGTTAAGTGCACGCACTCCGCTGCTGGTGGCCTGGGTTCGGATCCCGGGCGCACACCGACGCACTGATTGTCCGGCCATGCTGTGGCGGCGTCCCATATAAAGTAGAGAAAGATGAGCACGGATGTTAGCCCAGGGCCAATCTTCCTCAGCAAAAAGGGGAGGATTGGCGTGGATGTTAGGTCAGGGCTGATCTTCCTTAAACACACACACACACAAATATATGGCTAACCATTTTTTCATACATTTACTAAGACTTGGCCTTGGACACTGGAAGCCAGATACCTCTGGCTTTTGGTTTTTTTTTTTTTTTT